TTACTGAGAAAAGGAATGTTGGCTCTAATTCTGCAGTTATCCCTTACTCTTTTTCAAAGAGTGCCACAGGGATTTTTAAATTCCATCTGGAGAGTTTTCCATTAACTGTTTTTGAACACCATGTGTGAGAACACAACACAACTGTAGACATCAGAGATGGAAAAGACCTATTAGATCATGTAGGCATCCTCCTGCCAGTTAAAGATTTTTCCCTACAGAATAATTCCTAGCAGTTTGCCCAGTACAGTTTAAAGCATGTGGAGATACTTGGCTTCAATAATCTCCTTTGGAAAATTAATCCAGTGTATGAAAAATTTTGTTAGGAAGTTTTTCCTGGTAGACACAGCATGCATTTTTCTTTCCTTAATAATTTCCAGCCTATTATTCCTGGTTATATCCCATTGGGCCAGCCTGAATAACTCATCTTTACACCTTCGAATAAATTAAGACAGATATGTTCCCCTACACATTGGTCACTACTTGGCCAGACTACACACAGTTTTATAGCCAAAATATACACTATACTTGAATAAAATCAGTAATTTCACCCTTTTAGTCATTGTAGGAACAATTGCCTCCACCCCCGTGAAAATTTTTAGATGATGCTCTCAATAAATCTCATTATTCTTCCCTTGCTTTCTGCTTAACTTTTGCATTCTCCATAAAATAAAATAAAAAGACTAACAGACTCACAGGAGAAAAATACCCTCACAAAGTCAGCACATCAGTAAATGTACTATCTAACTCTTCTGCTGCCAACATCCTGATTTCTGCACAGGGTTTATACTTCCTCTCTCCCCAGCGTCAAAACGCACACTTTGCCAATGTGTAACATTTTCAAGATCTCTTCAATTAGAGATGTTGAATTAACCAAACAATTATTCCACTCCCATGAAGTCCTAAGACTGCATTTCTCTAAAAATGCATAAAGCTAAAGAAACAAAGCAGATACAATCTAGGAAAGCCAGCTCTATGAAGGCTGTCCAACAAGAAGAGAGGCCTATTAACCAGATTTTTTCTGGCAAACATATTGATGATGCTTTCTTGTTCCAATAGAATTTACAAGCTAAGAGACATAAGATTTGAACAACTTGTTTTTTATTGTTTAGTCTAAAAAAACATCTTTCAAACTGTCTTTGCAAGTGTTAGTGTGCACAGGCATAGTCTTTGCTCTTCTGCAAGGCCCTCTCCCCCTGCCTCCCTTGGAAAAGACATTTCACTAAACTTTCAATGTTCAAGTAAGAGCAAAATGTTAATCAATTCCTCTGGTCTTTTTAATCTCTGCTACTAGTCTGATTATGCCATTGAAATACATTAACTTCTCTGGTTTTGAGAAGGTGTCTTTTCTTTTTTCATTATTTTTTAAGGCTGGAACCTTGAAATATTCTGCTCTTTGAAAGGAAATAAAACATCTTCACAGTATTTCTAAACATTATTTTTATTTGCTCCATTTTAAGTACAGATTTGGCTATATAGGGACTAAGTTTGCAATTCACTCTTCAGGATTCACATTTTACTCTATTACCAGAAAGCTGAAGTCTCAATTTGCCAGTGTTACTACTAATATTCTTTCCATCACGTAGTGGTTAGCTGGAGCTTATGGAAGTAGTACAATAGGAAACAGTTTGAAATAACAGCTGGAATAGAAATGCCAACCTTTTTTTAAACAGCTCCAGCCCACAGTTCCTACAAAACAATGTTTTATTCTACTGTTTATTACCATTTTAACATGAAAACCGTTCTGTACATCACAGCTCTTACAACCAAATTAGTGGTTTGACTTTTTATTGATTACTATCTTGGCTAAAGTAGACAGTGACAAGGAGGTTCTACCTAACTTTTGTTATCAGATCTAGAGAACTATATTTACAAAGTAATTTTAAACAATTTATCTATAACTCCAAAACCAGAAAAACAAACCAAGCTGTCACAACTTTTTGTGAAGTTCCAGTAGAATGCAGTACAACGTATTTTGAGCAGAAGGGGAGCTGATACAATTTGAAGAGTCAGTGGAAGGGAAAAAAGTTGAAAAGATTGTACCTGAACACTAACAACAGTTAAAAAGAAGAAAGCACCACATCAGAAATATTTAAAAAAACCCATTTCACTCATATTTTGTATACTGAATTAAAAAGACATAAATATTGCATCAGCATCAGTTAAACTACTAGGAAAGTTTGCTCTGGGCTTCAAACTGAGTATCTGTATACTTTCAGTGAAATCAGTGGGAGAAGAAACTTGACACAATTCTTAAAGGCTAAATATAGAACCTTTTCTCAGCCACTGGTGTCTACGGTGCCAACATAAGTTTTAAATACACTTCTGTGATAATATGTTCTTTAAAAGCCTCTTACACACAAAAATATGCAGAATCAAATTTTCAAAAAAAGGTAAATTTACTTCACTAGAATGAAAATAAATAAATTAATTAAATAAACACTGGTTTTGAAGATGTTTCATGATTTGTCATAGGCTCACAAAGCTCACAAATCAAGGCAGCACTGGGACTGTGACACAACTTTCTCATGTGGACCTGCAAAAGATCCTAATCCCAGGATCAATCACTTGCTATCCCCAGACAGTATTAGCAAGATAATCTGAATGTAACTACTGGGATAAAAAGTATTTTCCAAAGTCAGTTAATACAAAATAGCACCAGAGAAACTTGGTGCATCAAGTTCTACTTAATGGCTCCCTACTGTAATTGCAAGTAAATGCTGTAGGCCAATCATATGAAAAAGATGGCACTACTACACTGGTGCACAGGCCCATCTAAAAAAGGTCAAGGGAAAGAATCTTTCAGGTGTAAGGCTGCAAACAAGCCACTAAAATCTGGCACTAATGCTAGGCTTTAAGTTACTTAATTTGCAGGGTCAAGACAGGATTAAAATAATCGCTATTTCTCCATAAGGTTTATAGACCAAGCAATTTTCAAAATATTACTTAGTTTATGAAATAACTTGTTCACAGTGCAGGTGAACACTAACGTTCACCAGGCAATGCTCAAATACCTAAAAACACAAGCAGATTGGCCTGCCAATAACAGCTAGTAAACAGGTCTAGTTCAGGCATGCTGCTTTCTCTTCCTCCTCACTGCATCCCACAAAAACCCTCCTTCACACTCCTGCCAAGTCTATCGCATTGCACAGCCACAGAATAATGCCTGCCAATTTCTAGAGAGCTGAGCATACTTCTCCATTTAGTGCTTTGTCTAAAGGCCAACAATGCAGTCAGGACTTACAAAAATGTCCCAAAGATTTGATGCATTAAGTCTTGAAAGATGGAAAGAACAAAGCATAACACTGAAGATATTTCTAACACAACTTCTCCACATTTCTAGCAACTGCCCACTTTAAACATTATTTGTACAGAGCACTCCTTGGCATTCACAAACACATTATGTACTAGAAATATAAAAATCAATTCTTTTCCTTTCCTTCAGAATACCACTCAGTCTGTAACTGACACAAAACACCAAATATTTTGCATTCAGATAAACCATTAACACCAAAAATTCCATTTGCATACATGCTAGTCAACTGTAGGTTATCATATTAACACAGTCTCAGCATTACCATTTTCTCAAGGAACAAAACTTCCCAAACAGCTACAGTTATTTTGGAATAGCACTTTTCTTTTTTTCTCTCTTCATAGTTATGGCATAGTTAGCCTTAAAGCAAAAATGTATGGGGAAAACAAATGACCATTTCCAAAAGATAAATAATTCCCTCAGGCAAACAACATATTTGGTGGAAAGACACTGAAAGAACCACATAAAAAATGTCAGAATCACCTGACCAATAAGTAGAAGGCTGTGTTTAGAAAAGGGTAAGATAGATACATAATCCAGCCACAACATACTTTTTTCTGTGGGTTGTTTTTTTTTTTTTTTTCCCCAGGCTCACAAGTTATCCAACTTTATAAAACAAGGACTAATATTTTCACCAGGAAGCAAGAACCTTTTCTTCCCCTTTATATTCTTTAATATCCCCTACCCAGGTTTTCCTACTTTCTCTTCACATTAGAATTTTGATGTAAATTTTGGCATCTAGTCTGTATCCAAATCCTGCCTTAAGTTTTCCATTGAAAATTGAAAAGCTGGTTAGCTTTTGCTCCTCATCAACACTCATCTTCAGGATCTGAAATTCAGGCTGTGCTTTTTCTAGCCTGTGCATCATACCTTTGATAAAATCTGTAAGGCCGAATTCTCTTCCACCCTTTGCATTTTTATTCTCTTTCAGGTATAACTCTCTGAATTATGTCATTGAAGACACAAAAACAGTTATCATGATGCCACTTACATGAGTTTTTAGAGGGGACTGTAAAAAAATGGGTTTTCCACACCTTCCGATCCTAGGGGTTTTAACGAACTCTGGTAGTAACAAGTATCTATGATTTTCTTTTCAAAATCTTATTAATGCTTCTGCTCTCCTCTGTCCACAAAATGAAAGACTTCCCTGGGCTACATTATTTCTTACAAGAGATTAAAAACTCACAAGATCAATAGTCAGAACTTCAAAAACAGACAATCATCACCCACATTCTTTAACATTATAAAACCAGAGGAAAGCTCTGTTTTCTCTTGAAAATGAGATTCTTTCTTCCACTCTTCCATTTCTCCTTTTTAAATAATGAAAAAGTAGCAGAACTGCTCAGTGGCGACCAGTCTTCCCTGACAGAAACAAATGTATGGAGACTGATGAGATGCAATTATCTGCATAAAAATATAACTTACTGAATAAGTTAAATTAAAAGGACCGTTGTCCCATATCACGTGAAAGCTCATTTTTTCCAGGCCTAACAAAAAAGCATGTTCCTATACTCAAAAAATGTTCCTAAAGTAACATAAGATTTCTTTAATGTAATGGAACAAAAAAACCAAACAAACTACACATTCAGCAAAGAAAAGCAATTTATACCAACATGGGCACAATCTGGTGGCTGAGACTGCAAACAAAGAGACATGTCTGGTATGAAGTAAACTATTAATGGAGACTTACCTCCAGAAACTGGGGCATCCATAAAAACAGCTCCCATTTTCTCAACTGCTTTGGCTAATTCTTTTGAAACTGCAGGGTCTATAGTACTGGAATCTATTAGCAATGAGCCTTTCTTCACTTTCCTAAAATAAAGATTAATTATTAAGTATTTTTTTTGCAACTATTACCATGGCACTGTATTTCCCCAACATGATAAATGTACAGACACCTTTTGGTATGCTAATAAAGACAAAGTTTTAAACCCGAACTGCAGAACACAAGAAGTTGTGTATGTATTTTTAAAAATTCAATTAAAATTATTTTTAATGTCCTCAACAATAAAAAAGGATTATATTTTTATCCCTCTTTTGATTCAATTGCACCATGATTTAATGTTTGCTGTACCAGCAAACACCATAGAATCAAACATAATTTTTCAGTCATTAAAAAAGGTTGAGTAATTTAAAGCTACCCTTGATAGATGAAGAACTTCACTGCACATTGCACGCTGCTGACAGTACAGTGCATTTCACTAAATCAAATTACCTAAATATCTGGAAATCGTCTCTCAATACATACACACATACAGTTGTGGAACTCACTGCAGCTCCAGACTCAAATAGTCCCACATACACAGAACTTGTCTGTTTTCACAGGAGGGACAAGCTGCTGCAGTTAGTTTGCAATCGAAAACCAGCGCAGCAGGTACAGCACTACATCATCTCCCCTTATCTTCAGAACTAGGGGCAGTGGCACTTGGTAACACAGCAAGATTACTAAATTTACCCTTAGACACTCCAGAGCATCAACGCTTTCTTCAGTAAAGCGTAAAAAGCTTCAGAAAAGTATCTAAGTCAATCCAGTCACCAAAGACCAGGTCATTCAGACTGTCCAATTATACTTCCTTCTGTTAAATATAGAGGCTGAGAAACTGCAGCAGCACAGGACTGCTTTCTACATTCTGTGTTCCCCACTGGATTTTCCACATCTAAGTACTCAAAAGATTAACTGGCTGTATTATATGAGTAAGTACTGCCAATCAGTCTGCAAAGCACTGCCATCCTGGATACAATTCTCCCACAGCTGTTTGTCCAGCTTTATGGGACTGATCCAATTACACTTCTTCCCTGAAAGGTCTAAGCAAGGGATACTTAGGTCTGTTCAGTCGTGCCTTGTGTGGAATTAAACTATCAACAGTAAGGGAAGGAAACAACTATTATTTACTATATTGGAAGGAGAACAGAAAATCCACGCCCTTTATTTAATTTTCTAATCACTGCACCTTAATATTGTCTACAATCAATAACTAAAAAGCTAACACCACTTTTAGACAATTTACTGGACTTTGGTCTGATGTATGTTTCCTTCTTTACATTATTAACCTGGATAGCGGTAAAATCCTACATGGAAGAAGTCAAGAGAGTTGTGGTCAATGGGACAGAATCTAGTTGGGAGGTTGGAGACTAGTGGAGTCCCTCAGGGTCAGTACTGGGACTGGTACTATTCAATATTTTCATGAATGACCTGGATGAGGGAACAGAATGTGCCCTCAGCAAGTTTGCTGATGACACTAAACTGGGAGGTGTTGCTGACACACCAGAAGGCTGTGCTGCCATTCAGTGAGACCTAGACAGGTTGGACAGTTGGGCAGGGAGAAACTTGATGAAATTCAACAAGGGCAAGTGTAGAGTTTTGCACCTGGGGAACAACAACCCCATGCACCAGTAGACCTGCTGGAGCACAGTGTAGGAGAAAGGGACCTGGGGGTCCTGGTGGGCAGGAGGATGACCATGAGCCAGCAATGTGCCCTTGTAGCCAAGAAGGCCAATGGCATCCTGGGGTGTATTAGAAAGGGTGTGGTTAGTAGGTTAAGAGAGGTTCTCCTCCCCCTCTATTCTGCCTTGGTGAGGCCACATCTGGAATACTGTGTCCAGTTTTGAGCCCCTCAGTTCAAGAAGGACAGGGAACTGCTTGAAAGAGTCCAGCACAGAGCCACAAAGATGATGAAGGGAGGGGAACATCTCCCTTATGAGGAAAGGCTGAGGGAGCTGGGCCTCTTTAACTTGGAGAAAAGGAGAATGAGGGGTGACATTACCAATGTTTACAAATATGTTAAGGGTGAGTGTCTGGAGAATGGAGACAGGCTTTTTTCAGTGATGTGTAGTGATAGGACTAGGGGCAGTAGGTGCAAACTAGAACATAGGAGGTTCCACGAAAACATCAGAAAAAACTTCTTTACTGTGAGAGTGACAGAGCACTGGAACAGGCTGCCCAGAGAGGTTGTGGAGTCTCCTTCACTGGAGACATTCAAAACCCGCCTGGATATGTTCTTGTGTGATGTGCTCTAGGTGATCCTGCTCTGGCAGGGGAGTTGGATTAGATGATCTTTCAAGGTCCCTTCCAACCCCTAAGATTCTGTGATACTTTGATCTTCAAAGGTATTTGACTGCCTTAGCCTGCTAGCAGCAGCAGTGCACGTGGCCAGAAGCTCCTTTTAAATACTATTTATTTTTTAACTTGGCAAGTCCAAAAACTTGAGTATTAGAATTCTGCAAACTGTGGATTTCAGGCTCAGTGGAAATCTCTGAACAAAAATTAAGAAACACTGTTTCAGATTAAACACACTCTTTAGATGTTTTCTTGTGTAATAAACTGATACTAGAGTAGAAATCAATAAAGCCTTGTCAGCTATTCTATGCTAATGCACTTTAACATTATGAGACATGTTGGCATCTCTTCAGAACATTTCAGTTATAGGATTTCAAGTTAGAGAAAAAAGTATCTGAGCAAATAATTGTTGCCAGCATATATTCTAGTTATACTCGTCTGTAGTACATTACATTACCGTAAAAGAAACATGCAACTGAGAAGGTAGATAATAGTTCAGTTGTTTCAAATTCACCTACGTTATTATTCCACTGAAAATAGATTTAAAACTTTAGCCAAAAGCTATTCAAAAGCAAGCACAGCTTAAGATAACTCATGAAATCAGAAATATCAATACTGACAAAACAGAGAACATCAATTTGAATGCTGTGAAGGCACAGTAAGAATTACAGCAACAGCGATCATTTCCCCAACTGTGTAACAGCCTTGAGTAGGAGTGGGAATTCTCCAGACTACAGCAAATTCTTACTTCAGAATTCCATTTGCTCCTGTGTAAACTTCTATCACATTGGGACTAGAAGGCAGCATGGTAATAATTCTGTCGGCTTTTTCTGCTACATCTGCTGGAGAATCTGTTACCTTTTAAAGAAAAAAAAAATTAATATAATTACATAAGGTTACATTTCCTGAAAAAGAAATGTCAAACATGCTTGCTGAGTTTGCTTCTAGTGGTTGCAGGTCATAGGTCACAAATAAGCTAAGTAAAAAAACTGGAACACAAAACAAACTCTGTCACCTTAATGGAAACGTGAATGAATTGGATATCATGTCACAGAAGTTCCTCCAGAATGTCCATCAACGGGGATGCTTGGATCCCATCACCCATTCATGAACTTTCCATTCAGCTGGGGGGAATCAAATCTGATTTCAATAATTCAGGTAGTTTTACTGAAAGGAATTAGATTTCAAGCAGTAAGCAAGATGAACAGAAAGTAGACTTAAGTTTGTGGAAAGGGCTTGTAGCTTTTATTTTCCAGTTATTGTAGCTTAATGTTGAAAAGGAACCTTAATACTACAATGACCTATTCTGCTAAATTTGTTATGTGCCTTGGGTTTTTAAACTTCAAGAAATGACTTAAGCAAAATTTTATATGCAGTTACTAGTCAGTGGGAATAAATCAGAATCGCTATATCACATGGCTTTTAGGGTTAAAGAAATTGCAGTTTAACAGTTACCTAAAAAATTGTTCCCTTTCTGTAATGTAGACAAATCTATAAATTGATGACCTTGTTTCAACATTCCTTATCTATTTTTAACTACAAGTATTTGTTAGAATTTTTGATAGTTTTGAGAGTAAAGGCACTTACATAAATATATTTTTTTATATACAGAATACTTTTATAAGGTCTCAGAATCAAAGAAAGCAAGGTATAGATATACTTGTAAGAAACTCAGAATAATAGGATTTCTGGGATACAGCATGATAAACTTGATTTCCGTTTTACTTATTGTAAAATAAGTAAAGGGAAGACTGTATCCACTGATCAAAAAGTAAAGAAACTGGCATAGATGGGACTTAGAAACATGCAGGGTTTTATTTTGAAAGAATAAGTTAATACTGCACAAAACATCTGGTATGACACACAGTTATAAAAGGAAACATACTCTAGTCCAAAGAACAAAGGTTAAGAGGAATAAATGAGCCAATTATAAGCAGAAAAGCTTCTATACCTAATTAGTTAATTTTATTACTTGCTTCCCTGGAGACCAGAGAGCCTAGCTCTTTATATAGGAGTATGACACCTTTGTCTTTATTTCTGAGCATATCTGGTTCTGTTCAGTCCCGATGTGTATTAACAGAGGAGAGAGGGAGTAGCAAAAAAGCGGGAATTAAAGTGGGAATTGTCATTTTTGGGTTTTTGGTACTGTAACAAATATGATAAACAATCACAGAGGAAAGCTACCTACCTGGTTCAACAAGCAGTATACAAAACTTTTATTTGGGACTTCCTGTCTCAGAAATTAAGTTGAATTATTTGAAAGCTGTTAAGAAACATCAAGCATTTGAAAAATTTTGCAATATACAACTGGATAGGGGAGACTTCTCTTCCTACTGGTCATTGGCCTATGCCTTCAATATGCACATCTGCTTATATTTGTTCCAAAATACTTTCCTATTTTTTTATATATTTACAGTAAGTCAACTAATAATTCTGCTTGCCCAATATGCCATTGTCACTGAATACCATACTGCTTTTAACCTGCTTTATGCATCAGATGACTTCAGTAACTCTCAAACTTCAAAATTTGAGATATGATTCATAGGTATGTAAACTGAGACAAAGTAATTGTGTGATCCACATGCACTCAGCTGCATGAGAAAGAAATGGTAACTATGAGGCAGGGGAAAGACACAGTAGAGTATGGAGGCAGTCTACCTGCTCACAGCACTGTTCAGTATTCTTCCTAGTCTGTAGCCTTGCAACTTTCTCCACGTTTCGCCCCAAGTGGTTCCATATGCACCTGCCCGGCCAGTTTTCCCCTTACTAGTCACTATCAGCAGGCGGGTAGCTGCCTCCTGACATATACTTCCTCCCAGCTCTTTACTTCAGAGTTTTAAGTAAGTGGAATCACAGAGTATGCAGGCTTATGATCAAACATCCCTCATCCTCCACATACCTTAGAATTACCACTGAACTTCCAACAATCAACATTTGACAACATTTACTGTCTCTTGGGGGGCATCTTTTCACCTCTGCAACACTCCTAATAGTTTTACCCTACCAGCCACACCAAGGCGAAAGCAGTCCTTGGAGCCCAATGTTCTTTCTACAGTAGTTTCTACAAGGCCCCCTGGACCCACAAGTTTCCAAGTCTTGAAAAAAAAAGTTGGGGTAGGATTTACACCTATAGATCAAGAAGAGGAAGTTATGTTCACATATTTTCTTTAAGTGTGTTTTATTTGAATTTAAGCCTACCCGTGTATTCTCTTAGTGATTTACAACCTTCAAACATAGTCCTGGCTTTATTTATAAAAGCATTGCAGTTCACCTTTAATATTGCATGTTAAGTGTTGCAGTGGGTGCCAAGGATTCTATTACTATGGCAATAAGCTATCCAAATGGGCAACCACAGCAAATAGATCCCATTGCAGAACATGAATTAAAAATAAAACTAATTGTTCAAAAAAGACATCCATTCCAGTTGCCCAGACTCCTTCTCAAAACAGGTCTGGTTCATGCCTGATTGTCTCAGCTGCTTTAACAGAATAAAAACAATGGCTAGGAAAACAAGCTGAAAAGCCTACCTTCCCACTTAAGGCCAAGATTCTGTAATTATTTTGGAGAGCTGCAATTAATTATCAACAGGTGTACTTTATCATTTTATCTTCTGGGAATCTTGATGTTACCTCATTATTTTAAACAGCTGCAATTAGCTCCAACAGTTTAGACTTTCAAGTCATACAATTCCGCTGTCTAGACCTACCTACAATTTCCTTGCCACCTCTGGAAAATTTCCTCTTATCCTCTACATTTTCACATCAGAGCATTATTTTTGCATCAGTTTCTCTTTATTTGAAGATACTATTTTGTTTATGTGTTTTATGAACCTATCCATCCAACCACAACTATCTAAACTACTGTAGCTTTGAAGTATGTCAAATACCTTTTCAGACACTTAGAAAAGACAGTCCCAACCACCTGAGAGGCTGTATGGATTTCTGGGTGTATTAATGGATCAACAAAAGCAAAACCACTGACTGGAATGGGGCCAAGATTTCACAGGGTGCATGGCAGGAAAGTAAACCTCCTTAATGTGATCAATTTCCTTCCCTCCTTTTTCCTTTTCATTCCTTCCTCTTCTCTCACCATAACCTCCCTCACCTCTAAGAGAACAAGCACTTAAATAATTAGATTTTACCCCTGCCCCTGAGGACTGCGCCTTGAACCAGCAGGAAAGCTCATATGTCCCTATAACCCTTACAGCTGTGCCAGCAGGAAATTTTAACTAGGGTCATCTAACCTGAAAAGGTCAAAGTAAGAACCAGATGAAAAGCAGCCCACTGGCCATCTAGACCTGAGGGAGGAGGAAGCAGGAGAAAGGAGGTGAAAGAACAGGTCATCAACCTACTCTCATAAAAAGGGAAAAAAAACCCACAAAGCAAAACAAAACAACAACAGCTAGAGAAGTGCAAGGTAGCAATTGTGGCTAACACCATGAAAATGACGTAGGGTGGAATCAGGACTTCGCTCCAAGCGAACCTCCAAGATTCACGTTGCGTTCACTAAGCTATTTTGTTTCCAATGGTGATCTTAACCCTGAAAAAAACATTATTTAAAACATATCACATGCAAGAACTATTCAATACATACAGGTATTGTTTGAATAAAGAAAGTGAATTACTATACCTGAGCACCCAAGTCTTGAAATTCTTTGCAAGCTTCTGGGAACACATCATACGTAATAACTGGATATCCGTGTTTTACCAGGTTTTTTGCCATTGGATTTCCCATGTTACCCAGACCAACAAATCCAACTGGGGTTTTGGAAGCCATTGTCCTAGAACACACTGATTTCAAAACAATAAACATCAATATATTTGCATTTTACAGTAATGCATAACAATGATGTAATCTGTTTGCACTGACTTAGACAACTTAAATAGTTAAGCTTAAAAAAGGCAGAAATGTGATTCCTATTACACATAATTTAAACTGGAGATTATAGCCCACATTGGGCCACAAATACCATCCCTGAATGGCTTTTTACATAGAAAATAAAATTATTTTAATCAGGAAAATGTGTTTCAAAAAGTAATACTCAAACTTGAGCAACATCCCTCAAAGCTTACGTCTGAGTTTCAGCCTGAGAGGAGCTCAAACACAGACTTAAAATATGCAGGTTTGTCTCTGTTTTTTTTTATGCACCAAAATAAACTGTAAATGTGAAATCAAATTATACGTATATTTTACAGACTTCTCATTTGCCACTTTGGTTGCAGCCCCAAGATTTAGCATCTGTTCTCTAGAACCAGATAGAGGCTGACAATTTCACATGGACCCTCACAGAGAAAAACTGAACTCTTCTGATCCTGGGTGCAAATATAAACTGCTAACCCAGAAGTAAAAGTCTGAATAATAAATCATTGTCAGTTATTTGAGCCATGTCATCACTTACAGTATCGCTTAAAAGAAAATACTGAAAACTAGAACAAACTGGAGTATAAATACAAAACAATTAATTATTTAGAGGAATAACCACTGTATTTTATATGCTGTACTAGCAAGACAGAACTATAAAGCATAATGTACAATACAAAGAAAACACTACCATTTCAGTTATTTTTTATAAATAGCTAGCAAGTATCAAATACTGCATTGTAAGTAGTGCTGCAGGTGTGTCAAATGCTGGACAGTAAGTAGTGTTACCCCTGTCCCATCACTCTAAACACACCTAATCCAAGGGCTGCACAATTTGGCAGTGCTGAGATTTCTTTGCCGATTACAGCAAAGGAAAAAGCTGTGCAGAATAAACACAAAGGCATGTGGCAGCTAAGCAGCCAGAAACAAGGCTAACTAACTAGAGTACTACTGTAACTCTGAAGTGCACATAGAGAAAATGTGCTTAAGCTGGATCTAGACTCTAAGAGGTCTCAATGCTTAGCAAAGAATCCTCTCTAGGCCAATAACACTTGATTAATCATTTTAGAGTCTTCTGACTTTAAGCTCCTTCTTAGCCAGCAATGGTCATGCTCTTTCATCTGCAGCACTGTTTTGGAAGTGCCACATTTAATAAATCCAGTTCGTTGAGAGAACTTTGGTCTGAGACAGTTTCCATAGATGCCTGCAGCAATTACACAGCTAGAGACAGAACAACTTAAAAGAAAACTGCACTGGCAAAACACTTAGTGCAAATTGAGGTAAGTCAGGAAAAGAGCACGTACCTTTTTTAACAAGTTCTAGATGTCAAATCTAGGAAACAAATCAACAAAGAGCCTAAAACACTATCATCAGCCATAGTAATAACCTTGGTGTCTGTCTTTTTCATAGTTCCTATGAGACAGTCTTTCCCAGTACATAGAATCATAGAACGGTTTGGCTTGGAAGGGATCTTAGAGATCATGTAAGTTCTAAACCCCTGCATGGCCAGGAACACTTCCCACTAGACCAGATTGCTCAAGGTCACGGCGATGCTTCCAGGCATTCCAGGGGGTGCCAAGTATTGGATTGGGGCTGCCAGAAGGTGCCAAGGGGTGCCCAGGGCTGGAGCAGGGATCCTGGGAGGTCCCAAGGGATTTCTGGGGCCAAAGCCTAGCTGCGAGAGGTCTCAAGGACACTGGGTACAAAGACACTCAGGTCTGGTGTCAGCTCAGCAGTAGTCACTCCCTGTCCCATGCTGCCACTGGCTCCACAAATTCTGGTGGTTTCTTGGATCAGGATGGCACTTACACTAATAAAAAATTGCTCCTTTTGCTCACCTAAAGCTTGCAGCTTCCTGTGGAGGTTCAAGTCGGGGTTTTCAGCATCTTTCTTTCGCTGCCCCTTAATACCAGTGGATCTTTTTGGCCTTAACTTCAGTAAAGCTTTCAAAACAGCTTCCTTTAGAATCCTGGTAGCCAAATGGGAAAAGTATGCACTGAACTAGACTGCAAGACTTTCTGATGAAAGAAATACTGTCTGGATTATTGAGCTTAAACAACCATGATAAATGCTTCAACAACTAGCAACAGTCAGTTATGAGTGATGTTCCTCATGGGTCAATACTGGAGCTGCTGCTGCTTTAATATTTCAACAATGCCTCTGATGATGGGACATAAGCACCCTGGGCCAGAATTGCTGAAAAACCGCAGGGCAGAGCTACCATTCAGAAAGACTGGAAAAATGGGCCTCTAGAGGTCCAACAAAGACAAACACGATGTCCTGTACTTGGGGCAGGAGATGTCATTGCAGGCTGAGGACTGGCTAGACAAGTTACAGCTCTGCAGAAAGGATCTGTGGATCCTCACAGACAACAAGTTGAATATAAGTCAGTGGTGCATCCTTGCAGTACAAGGTTAATTACATACTGCCCTACATTAGCAAGAACATCTCCCAAAAGTAAAAAATATTGGTGATTCCACTCTACGCAGCACAGTACAGAAAAGATGTGGTCAAACTGCAGACAGCCCAGCAGACACCAATTAACATGATGGAGGAGCTGGAGAATATGGCACATGAGCAGAGGCTAAGGGAACTATCTTTGCTTAGCCTGGGCAAGTAAAAGCTAATTGCAGTCTTCCACTACCTAGGGAGTGAGAGGGAGGAAGACTTACAGAGAAAACTAAGCCAGATTCTTCAAAGTGGTGCACAACAATAGGACAGGGAGCAATGGCAAAAAGCTGTCGGAAGGAAAATTCTGGCTGGAAGTAAGAAAAGCATCCCTGCTGAGGAGAAAGGTTCTGCACTGGAACAGGCTGCAGAGAGAAATGGTGGAACCTCCATCCTTGGAGCAGCCTTGGAGCACCCTGAGAAACCTGATCTAGCTCTAAAGTTAGTTCTGCTTCCAAACCTCCATTTTCTTTGTTTCTGTGAATTCCAAGTAATCTTACTGGAAGTATAAATCTAGATACCATGTCTAGGCTCCTTCTTGTAGACTATTTTCTTGGTGTGAGCCAGGATGAAACCAATTTTCCTTTTACTGATTTTTTTTTTTTCTTCAGTGAAGTCTCTTTTAAGCAGCACACTTGCTGAAAACAGCAGTAAGTTTCCCAGCTAGTGGATTGATAACACTCGAACCTTTATAATTACTGCCAAGAGACCAAGGACACTTTGCTCTGCTTGTTGAATATGCTGCTTCAAACACTAAAGGAGCAGAAGGGTGATGTCCACAATACTCCTGCAGGGAGGAGTGGACTACACAGACAGAAAAATTGGCAAAACAAATTATTCCATCTATATATTTACACAGCACTCGGTATAAATTCAGGGATCATGGAAGTCAAGTCCTCCTTCTTTTTCTGTCCATGGCCAGCATCCAGAGATGACTCCATTTATCCATCTCCTTTAATTCCTTGGCCTGTGTGTTCCTGACCCTCACACCTCTGCCCTCAGCTCTTGTCTGCTCTGCTGCTCTCTCTGGCAGTGTTCCAGGACTTTTCAGGACTGCTCACAGCTCAGGAGATGCCTTGGGAGTTGCTGGGCGTGAGGGGAGGTGAAAGGGGGTTTCCTGTACATATTTGTATATATTTGTACATATTCTATCATTAGTATTTAATTAAGGCTGTCTAGTTTAGTTTTCAATCTGGAAGCCTCTCTTCTTATTTTCTCTTTCCTTTCCCTATTTCCCTACCTGGGTGGGAGAAGGAGGGGATAGAGACCACTGTTGTCATTGGTTTAATTGCTGATCCTAAGTTGAACCTTGACAACTGTTTGCTTTTATTCTTTTCTCACACCATGTCATGGATATCTAAGAAGCACCTCAAACACATCAAGAAACCTCTTAAACATCTTCGGAAAACTTTATTGATACCTTTTTTCTGTATCAGAGCTGACACTAACATTGATGTCTGTGCAATGGGTTGACCACGGCTAGACACCAGGTGCCCACCAAAGCTGCTCTATCATTCCACTTTTCAGTTGGGCAGGGGAGAGAAAACATAACTTAATGCTTGTGGATTGAGAGGAGATGGAGAGATCATTCACTAACTATCATCACAGGCAAAACAGACTTGACTTGGCGTAAATTAATTTAATTTATTACCAATCAAATCAGAGTAGGAGAACAAGAAATAAAACGAAATCTTAAAACACTTTTCGCCCACTCCACTCTTCTTCCTGGGCTCAACTTTGCTCCCAGTTTCTCTATCTTTTCCCTGAGTGGCGCAAGGGGATGGGGAGTGGGGGTTGAAGTCAGTTCATCACACACTGTCTCTGCCACTCCTTCCTCCTCACTGTTCCCCTGCTCCAGCGTGGGTTCCCTCCCATAGGAGACAGTTCTTCATGAACTACTCTAGCGTGGGTCCTTTCCAAGGGGTGCAGTCCTTCCGAAACAGACTACTCCAGTGTGGCTCCCCATAGAGTCAGCAGTCTTGCCAGCAAACCAGCTCCAGGGTGATCTCCTCTCTCTCGATGGGTCCAGAGGTTGTGTCAGGAGCCTGTTCCAGCACAGGCTTCCCAAAGGGTCACAGCCTCCTTTGGGCATCAACCTGTTCCAGTATGAGGTCCTCCATGAGCTGCAGGCATGTATTTGCTCCAGTGATAACCTCCCTGGGCTGCAGGGGGACAGCCTGCCTCACCATGGTCTTCCCAGTTCCCTGCAGGGGAATCTGCTCTGGCACCTGAAGCACCTCCTCTCCCTCCTTCACTGACCTTGGTGTCTGCAGTTATTTTTTCTTACATATTCTTACTGTTCTCTGTGGCTGCAGCTGCACAGCTGCTTGGTATTTTCCCCTCCTTAAATATGTTATCCCAGAGGTTCTCTCACCATTGCTGACTGACTTGGCCTTGGCCACAGCAGGTTGATCTTGGAGACAACTGGCATTGGCTCCACTGGACATGGGGGAAGCTTCTTGCAGCTCCTCACAGAA